CTGAGCAGAAGCCAGTGGGACTGGCTCCTTGAGGCACAGTGATGTCTCGCCTGCCCGCCTTGGGCTCAGTTCCCATTACCCCGTCTTCCTGGTCCCTCCATAACCCACCCGCAGGGCCAGGCGTGTGCCAGGGCCACTTCCAGAGGCCCGCAGGCCAAGGGGACTCCGCTTCCTCACAGCCCCCTTGCTTGGCTTCAAGCCAACCTTCAAGCAAGGGTGAAGGTCCTTCCTCTCCCCAGTGAGGGTAGAATCGATTTATTTTTTTAAAAAGAAGGAGAGGGCAGAGGAGGAGGAGAGGGAAGAGGAGGAAGAGGAGGAAAAAAGGGAAGAGGAGGAGGAGAGGGAAGAGGAGGAGGAGAGGGAAAAGGGGGAGGGAGGAGGAGGAGGAACTGCCCTCCCTCTAAGACCCCAGAATTCTTTCTTCATTCGGTTCTTGTAAACTGTTGGGGTGGAGAAGGGGGAGGAGGAGGAGGAGGAGGAGGAGGAGGAGCAGGAGCAGGAGCAGGATGAGGAAGAGGAGGGCAGGCCTGGCACTCTGAGAGCCCGGAGGACAGACCGGCGCCTCTCTGCTCCCGTGACCTCGCGGGGGAGATGGGGATGCAGGCCCAGGTGATGCCTCTGCTGCCGAGCTCAGGGCACTGGGGCTGTCCTGTGGCCACGTGGAGACCCCACTTACAGTCTCCTGTTACCTCTTCTCCAGACTGGGCCTAACCTCGGGTTTTTCCGGCTTCTCTCAGACACCAAAGATTTACGTCCTCATCTTTCTTCATCTTCCACCAGGGACCTCTCAGGGCTTAGAATAGTCTAGCCTGCCCCTCCCAGGCCTGGTTGCCTGCCTCCCACACAGAACAGCTCTCGGCACACCCAGCAAAGCACTGCTCCACGAACGGTCTCCGCTGGGGTTCAGAGGCAAACTCACATTGTGCAATTTCTGAGTCAGAAATTCTGCCAAACTCAAGTCTTCCTGTGTTGTCAAGTGAGAGAGTGCAAGGCTCCAAAATACTCAGGTGTCAAGTTCGTATCCGCCGCCATCAAGTCCTCTGGAGCCTGTGAGGCTCACTGATTGGCTCGACTCCAATTTAATTTGACTGGCAGGTGGCTGGCACGTCAGCAGTGGGCTGAACCCTCCCCAGCCCATTGACAGAAGGTCCAGGTCTGGGCTCTGGGGCCCAAGCACCCCCTCAATACTCCTGGCAAAGCTGTGTGTTCACCTGCATCGTCCTGAGTAGCTTTCCAAAGCTGCTCAATGTGGCCTGTGACCCTGTGTCGTCATCGGTCCCTGCTGGTAGGAGAGCTGGTTGTTGGAAAGGAAGTGACCTTCCCAGCCTCGGTGACCCCACATCCACTTCCCCTGAGACACGTTATGGCCTGTTGGCCCGGGGCTGGGTTCTAGCCATGAGTGCACCCCAAACACTACAAACTCAACCCAGAAACAGAGGAGAGGCCCTGAGGGTGGGGAGGAGGGAGGCCCCTGGTGATGTGCTGAATTTCCTGCCCCAAGTTCTCGCTTCCCACGCCCCTCGCTGCCTTGCCCGCCTCCTCTCCAGGGGCTGTGAGCCTTTTCTGAAGTGTCTCTGCATTGCCTCTCAGCTCCTTACCATCCCCCTCCACTCATCAACCTTGCAGCATGGAGAAGGGGTGAGGAGCCAAGCGACACTAGCATAGAAGTTTCTAGAAGGTACTGGAGGTAAGACATCTCCTAAAGTTGACCCAAATAGCTTTGTCCCTGTCACACACTCATTGGGTAACTAGAAATAAAGTCCAAAAAACTGGTTATGCTTTAAACTAAAACTGTTTATCTCACAGGGAGGTGCAGCTCTGAATAAAACAGGAGGTACCTGAGACACAGGCAGCAGCAGGAGACGGGGCGCCCAGGCGCACCTGCAGGGCCCGAGGTGCCTTCCCATGAGAGGGAGCTGCGGGGACACACATTTCACAGAGACGCTCCCCCTCGAGCTGGCTGCCTGCCCCAGCAGCACCTGAGAGCCAGCGCTCCAGCGTCGCCCTTGTCTCACCTCACCCTGGGCCCACATTAAATAAGATCAATCAAACAGAATTGTCCTACATGCTGGTCGTGTAACTTCATGTGTGAACATGTGCATTGAATAACAAGAAAGGTCTGCTGGGATCACGCCTGACTGTCAACAGGGTCCGTCCCGGGGAGTGGGGTGAAGGGCGACACCCGCCACCCTGACGTGCCGTGATGTGCTCTTTGAAGTTTCCAAGTAGCAACTGTACATGGCGCCTGTAATATTAGACAAACCAGAAATACATAGGGCAATAAACTGGGTTACCTGTCAAAGGGCCTGCAAAACATATTAAAACAAGACAGATTATTGGGGCTTCTTCTTTTAATTTATTTTTAATTTTTATTAAATTTACTGGGGCGACTGATTAATAAGATCATATAGGTTTCAAGTGTACATCTCTATGATACATGAGCTATACTGCACTGTCCCACCCCCAAAGGCAAGTCATCTTCTGTCACCATATAGTTGGCCCCTTTACTACCTCCCTCCCCCTTCCCTGTGGGAACCACCCACTGCTGTCTGTGTTCATGAAGTTGAGTTTCATATCCCACATCTGGGTGACATCATATGATTCTTAGCTTATTCTGTCGGACTTATTTCACGTAACATAATATTCTCAATGTCCATCCGTGTTGTCGCAAATGGCGCTGCTTCATCCTTTCTGATGGCTGAGTAGAACTCCATTGTCTTCTTTATCCAGGCCTCTATCGTAGGGCACTTTGGCTGTTTCTGTGTCTTGGCCACCGTGAATAATGCTGCAGTGAACATAGGGGGGGCACGTTTCTTTACAAATAAATGTTTTCAATTTTTTCACATAGATGCCCAGGAGAGGTTGCTGGGTCATATTAGCTGTCTTCTTAACATTTTGAGGAGCTGCCATACTGTTTTCCGCAGTGGCTATACCAGTTCATATTCCCACCAGCAGTGAATGATCGTTCCTTTTTCTCCACATCCTCTCCAACACTTGTTATTATTTGTCTAGTGGCCATTTTAACAGGTGTGAGTTGGTATCTCATTGTGGTTTTTATTTGCATTTCTCTAATAGCTAGTGACGTTGAGCATCTTTTTGTATATCTGTTGGCCATTTGTATGTCTTCTTAGGAAAGGTGTCTGTTCAGGTCCTCTGCCCATTTTTGTTGTTGTTGTGAATCCTCATTGAGGATATTTTTTTTCCATTGATTTTTAAAGAGAGAAGAAAGGAGGGAGGTAGGAGAGAGAGAGAGAAAGAGAGAGAGAGAAACATCAATGTGAGAGAGACACATTGACACATCCGTTGGTTGCCTCCTGCATGCTCCCTGATTGGGACCAGGGATTGAATCTGCAACACAGGTATGTGCCCTTGACTGAAACCAAACCTGTGAGCCTTCAGTGTTGGGGCCAATACTCTAACCACAGAGCCACACCAGTCAGGGCTTTTTCAATCTCTTTTAATAAAGCTTTGTAGTTTTCAATATACAGGTCCTTCATATTCTTTGTTAAGTTTATTCCTAGACATTTTGTTCTTTCTGTTGCAATAGCAAAAGGAATTTTTTCATTTCTTTTTCTGAAATTTCATTGTTAGTATATAGGAATGCAGTGGATTTTGTACATTTTTGTATTCTGTAACTTTACTGGGGTGTCTTCTCGTGATAATTGAGAAATGTTGGCAATTCTTTAGGGAATGCTTCCAAGCTCATTTTATGAGACCAGTGTGACCCTGATACCAAAACCACAAAAGGATCACACACACACACACACACACACACACACACACATTACATGCCAATATCCCTAATGAATATACATGCAAAAATCCTCAACAAAGTATTAGTAAACCAATTTCAACAGCACACTAAAAGAATTGTACGCCATAATCAAGTGGGACTTATCTCAGGGATGTAAGGATGATTCAACATCCTCAAATCAGTCAATGTGGTATCTACACTAATAAAAGACAAACATGCAAATTGACCATACCTTTGCTATGCCTTAAGCCACGCCCACCAGCCAATCAGAGCAACTATATGCAAATTAACCTAACCAAGATGGCGGCTGGCAGCCACAGAGCTGGAGCAAGCAGGAGGCTTGGTTGCCCCAATGATGGAGGAAGCCAAGCTTCCCGGCCGACTTCTGCCTCCTCTCAAGACAACAAAGTTTCAATTATAGAAGGTAAATAAACCCCAGATACCTGCTTTCAGCCGCCATGGCCACGGAGCTGGAGTGAATAAAAAAAAAGAGAAGGCTGGGAGCTTCAGTCGCCAGGGGGCTTGGTAAGTCTGAAAATAGCCATCAGCCCCTCACCCAGGCTGGCCAAACCCCCATGGGGTGAGGGTCCCCACAGGGGGACTTGACTAGCCTGCAAACAGCCATCAGCCCCTCACCCAGGCTGGCCAAACCCCCATGGGGTGAGGGTCCCCACAGGGGGACTTGACTAGCCTGCAAACAGCCATCAGCCCCTCACCCAGGCTGGCCAAACCCCCATGGGGTGAGGGTCCCCACAGGGGGACTTGACTAGCCTGCAAACAGCCATCAGCCCCTCACCCAGGCTGGCCAGGCACCCCAGGGGGACCCCCACCCTGATCCAGGACACCCTTTAGGGCAAACCAGTCGGCCCCCACCCATGCACCCGGCCTCTATTCTATATAATAAAAGGGTAATATGCAAATTGACCCTAACAGCAGAATGACTGGGAATGACTGGTCACTATGACACACACTGACCAACAGGGGGCAGATGCTCAATGCAGGAGCTGCCCCTGGTGGTCACTGTGCTCCCACAGGGGGAGCTCTGCTCAGCCACAAGCCAGGCTGATGGCTGCCAGCACAGCGGTGGTGGCGGGAGCCTCTCCTGACTCCTCAGCAGCACTAAGGATGTCTGACTGCAGCTTAGGTCTGCTCCCCGCTGGCAAGTGGACATCCCCTGAGGGCTGCTGGGCTTCCAGAGGGATGTCTGACTGCCAGCTTGGGCCCGATCCCCCGGGGAGCGGGCCTAAGCCAGCAGGTGGTCATCCCCCGAGGGGTCCCAGACTGCAAAAGGCATAGGCCAGGCTGAGGGACCCCCCACCCCGAGTGCACAAATTTTCATGCACCGGGCCTCTAGTATCACATTAATAATATGAAGGACAAAAATCATATGGCCTTATCTATAGATACAGGAAAAGCATTTGAAAAAATTCAGCATCCATTTATGATTTTAAAAATCTCAACAGAGGAAACATACCTTAACATAACAAAGACTATATATATGAAAAGTCCATAGCTAGCATCATATTCAATTGTGATCAGAAAGAAGATCAGAAATAAAACAAGGATGCCCATTCTCACCACTCTTATTCAACATAGTACTGGAAGTCTGGCCACAGCAATCAGACAAGAAGAAGAAATAAAAAGCATCCAAATTGGAAAGGAAGAAGTAAAACTGTCACTGTGTGCAGATGACATGATTCTATATGTAGAAAACCCTAAAGACTCCACCAAAATACTGTTAGAACTAATAAATTCAATAAAGTTGCAAGGTACAAAACACACAGAAAACTGTGGTGTTTATATACATGAATAATGAACTATCAGAAAGAGAAATTAAGAAAGCAATCACCTTTACAATTGCATCCAAAAGAATAAAATACCTAAGAATATATCTAACCAAGGAGGAGAAAAACCCTTTCTACTGAAAACTATGAGACATTAAAGAATAAAATTTAAAAAATACAAATAAATGGAAAGATGTTCTATGTTCATAGATTGGAAGAATTAGTATTGTTAAAATGTCCATACTACCCAAAGCAATCTACAGATTCAGTGCAATCTATCAAAATTCCAATGGCATTTTTCACAGAACTAGAAAAAATAATCCTAAAGTTTGTATAGAACCACAAACGACCCTAATTACCTAAAGCGATCTTGAGAAAGAACAAAGTTGGATGTGCCACACTACCTGATGTCACACTATACTGCAAGCTACGGCAATCAACTGGCGTCAAAACAGACACCTGGATAGAGAAACCAAGATGGCAGCATAGGTTAACGCCGGAGTTTGCTGCCTCGAACAACCACTTCAAAAATACAACTAAAAGACGGAACAGACATCACCCAGAACCACAGGAAGGCTGGCTGAGTGGAATTCCTACAACTAGAAGGAAAGAGAAATCCATACCGAGACTCAGAGGAGGCGCAGTGCGGAAGTGAAATACTAAGGTGAGTTGGAAGGCAGCTTTCTCTCCGAGGTTTGCAGCGGTTCCTGGGGTTCTGAGAAGCAGAGCCTCTGGGAACGGGACTGAGGGCACCATAACCGCTCCCTCCGCCCGCCCTGTTGAGCCCGCCCCGCCCAAGCCCTGCGCAGAGCCATTTGCCGGATCGCCTCAGGCAAAGGCTAGATTAGCACCTCCCCAGAGGACAGAAGTTTTCCGCGGCAGACACAGCTGATTCACACAGCCAGTCGGCCTGGTGGTCAAATCCCTCTAGTATTAACTACAACAATCAAGGCTCAACTAGAACAAGACTGCGCACAAAGACCACTAGGGGGTGCACCAAGAAAGCATAAAAAATGCGGAGACAAAAAAACATGACAGAAATGGAGGATATAGAGCTAAAAAACGCAATTTTGAGGGCTTGCAATAAACTTTTGGAGAGCTTCACGAAAACTAATGAGACCCTCGATGCTATGATAAAGAAACTAGAAATTAAGCATACACGCTCTGAAATAAAGAATATTACACCCAATAGCAGACCAGAGGAGCGCAAGAATCAAGTCAAAGATTTGAAATGCGAAGAAGCAAAAAACACCCAACCGGAAAAGCAAAATGAAAAAAGAATCCGAAAATACGAAGATAGTGTAAGGAGCCTCTGGGACAGCTTCAAGCGCACTAATATCAGAATTATAGGGGTGCCAGAAGATGAGAGACAGCAAGATATTGAAAACCTATTTGAAGAAATAATGGCAGAAAACTTCCCCCACCTGGTGAAAGAAATGGACTTACAGGTCCAAGAAGCGCAGAGAACCCCAAACAAAAGGAATCCAAAGAGGACCACACCAAGACACATCATAATTAAAATGCCAAGAGCAAAAGACAAAGAGAGAATCTTAAAAGCAGCAAGAGAAAGAGACTCAATTACCTACAAGGGAATACCCATACGACTGTCAGCTGATTTCTCAACAGAAACTTTGCAGGCCAGAAGGGAGTGGCAAGAAATATTCAAAGTGATGAATAGCAAGAACCTACAACCAAGATTACTTTATCCAGCAAAGCTATCATTCAGAATTGAAGGTCAGATAAAGAGCTTCACAGATAAGGAAAAGCTAAAGGAGTTCATCACCACTAAACCAGTATTATACGAAATGCTGAAAGGTATCCTTTAAGAGGAGGAAGAAGAAAAAGGTAAAGATACAAATTGTGAACAACAAACATGCATCTATCAACAAGTGAATCTAAGAATCAAGTGAATAAATAATCTGATGTACAGAATGAACTGGTGATTATAATGAATCAGGGACATAGAAAGGGAATGGACTGACTGTTCTTGGGGGGGGAAGGGGAGTGGGAGATGCAGGAAGAGACTGGACAAAAATCGTGCACAAATGTAATAATCTGAACAATAAAGATTTAATTAAAAAAAAAAAACAGACACCTGGATCCAGGGAAAGCAAAGAGAGCCAGCAGTAAACCCACAGCAACGGTCAGTTACTCTATGACAAGGGAAGCAAAGAAGTGCAATGGGATAGAGACAGTCTCTTCAGTACACGGTGCTGGGAAAACCGGACAGATACATGCGGAAAAGTGAAGCCGTCACCCTGGTTTCAAAGCACCTCACTGCGCTGCTTCTCTCAGGGATGCCCTGGGACTGCCCACTTCTACTCATCGGGTCTGAGCTTGGTTCTCGCAGCAGGTCCAACTTCCCCTGGGACACACAGCAAGAGGCCGGGGGCGGGGGTCCCGTTCTCTCCCCTAAAAGGGGAGCAAGGTAACAATGACAATCCCTCTTGCTTTGCACTTGTATGAAAAGGAGCTAGCTGTGGGGGGGAGATGGGGGTTGCAGAAGGGGCTACGTGACCAAACTTCAAATGTCTGAGTGGCAGATACACCTGGCAGGTCTGGCAGCCACCAGGGAATAAGCCGCAAATTAGACTCTAAACGTTCTCATCACACTTACCCAGCTGTCTTATTGAGGATTTTCAGTGAAACATTTTAAATGTGCACATTGCTCTAGGGAGGGAGAAAAGTGTCACTCAGCTCACTCTCTTCCTGTCTGGCCTCTCCGTGCCCTGCCCCAGGGTCCTCTGTATTCTGCACTGGGCATCTAGACCCCATAGCACTGTGGGCTGCTGGACATAGCCGGGCACCTAGAGCAGTGGCCCTCAGCTCAGGGCCACTTGTCCCCCAAAGGATGTCTGGTAACATCTGAAACGTCTTTAATTGTCACACCGTAGGGGACCAATTAGCATCTAGTGAGTGTAGGCTAGGGATGGTGCTAAGTATCCTACAGTGCATAGGACAGCGCCCCCCC